GTGCTGCTGGCTCACTCATTCAGATGCGCTGCACTTACTTGGCGTCTTTCAGGTTCCTTGATCTGATTTCTTTGATCCTGCTTGCGGCTTGCTTCTCCAGAATGCCGTTTTTTGTTGACTAAAGATGTAGCGACTTCCACAGTCGCTAGAGGCCGGGGATGGAGCCCGCCTATTTGCCTGACGCGCTGTCAAGTTTACGCAATAATGCGAAAGGTGGAATTGTTTCCTTGTTTATTAAAGTGTTTACAGAGTAATGTCATCTCGCGATTTGGACTCTTACAATGTCACAGGCTGTAATATAATAAGACAAAACATGTTGTGCAGCGGTCAACAAAAACTACGGCTACCCAGCCCTCCTCTCTGTCAAAATCAAAACCAGTGAATGACAGACTGACAACGCCCTCTTAATGTCACCGCTAGCACCCACGTGACTCCCATTACACCTCACCATAACAACCAAAACAAATGAAAACCCAGTGATCATCAAAAAATTCAATACATTCAATTATGGCTCCTACACTCATTTATTCATTTATCAGCAGACTGACCTTTGGCACACTTTGCAACTGCTGAGCTCTGGTGGTGCGTTAATTTCTGATAAAAAACAAAACGAAAACACAACTGTTGGCACATAGAGGTTAACGCTTCAGCAACACTTTGCTGTTTAATCAAATTTGTTCAAGCTCGTAAATATTACAGACTTATTTTATTTCTTTTTTGCATTGGGGGGCAAAAGTTCCAAAGCAGCCAATCATCGTTCCTGGCGAAAACCTGGCTGACGTCAGGTTTCAGTGTAAATTAGGGGGCTCAAACTTCCGGCCCGGTGGCCGCTTGCGGTCTGTGTCACCCCTACTCGAGAGCCAGTGTCCTGCAGGTTTTAGATGTGTCCTTGATCCATCACAGCTGATTTAAATGGCTAAATTACCTCCTAAAGATTTCTTGAGGTTTTCCAGGGGCCTGGTAATGATCTAATCATTTGATTCAGGCCTGTTGACCCAGGGTAATATCTAAAACCTGCAGGACTTCAACCCTTGAGGCCTGGAGTTGGCTACCCCTGCACTACTGCATACAAAATCCTGGAATTAAAATAGTAATTTGAACTCTTCAGTGTACTGTTGGACAATAATTTGCTCTCCAGATTTTCATAATCTTTATTTGCAGTCCTCTCTTTTTGTTGTCATGTTGCAAAGAAGTCTTTAAATATTTTTCCCTGATTCTTGTTTAGCAGGTTTGTTGAGCGGTACTGGCAGCGTTCAGTCTGCGGTGTGAGCTCTGTTGCAGGGAAGAGGAGAGCCCTGCCGAGTGCCTTCCCTGTGCTGGACCTGCCCCTTCTGCCCATCCACAAACACATTTATGAAGCAAACCTCAGAAATAGCAACGCCTGGTGTAAGAAGTAGGTTTTGCTCACACATTTGCTCTCACATATCCTAGTGTATTAGTATGTGCCTTGTTGCAATTTGGTGTTTCTAATCAACTATTTTAGATTTATTAAGTGGATTTTTGTTTATTTATTTTTTAATCTCAAAATAAATTCCCTGCTTGTTTGTGTGTGATAGTGTGTTGCCAGATCTGCACGTGTTGTCAAAATGTTGTTCATTCATTATCCCTGGTTATCTCCATTTATTAGGTACACAGAGTTTAGTGAGAAGGTGATGGAAGGGGGAGGAGAGAAGGCCATAGCCAGACACACTCAGAGAAACAGGAAGTTGCTGATCAGAGACAGGCTTCGCCTCCTATTGGATGACGAGGACTTTCTGGAGCTGTCACCATTTGCTGGTTTGGGTCTTCCGTACGGGGACATACCTTCAGCCGGCAGTATAACTGGTGAGAAACGACTACAGATTAGTGTGACCGCAGCTAAATACCCTCATTTAATTTCTTTATTTCAGATCGTCTTCTGTTTACTCCACATCTTCTGGGATCCGAGTGTGACACTTTATGCATTTTTTTTATTCGTCTGTACAAACATCATTCAGGCATCGGCAGGATCAATGGCCTGTGGTGTGTGTTTGCTGCCAGCGACGCTACGGTGAAAGGAGGCACATCGTATCCTATCACGGTAAAGAAGAATCTCCGAGCGCAGGAAATAGCAATCAAAAATCGCTTGCCTTGTGTGTACCTGGTCGACTCCGCTGGAGCGTTCCTGCCACTGCAGGTTAGCACACGCACACATAAGCACATCTCCGATTTAATACGCGTAAGGGTTCTACCTTTAGAGTAAGTGAATGCTAGTGAAATTTATACTGACTGCTGTTTCCGCTTCTTATTCCTCGTCTGTGTATAAATGTCCAGTCAGAGATTTTTCCTGATAAGAATCACGGAGGAAGGACGTTTTACAATGAAGCCATCATGTCTGCCATGAAGATCCCCCAGGTAAGGATGAGTTAGAAGACTTTGGACTTTACATAGATTATCATTCCTGTTTATAAGCTACACTTTAAAATGTTTCATATGCACACACTTGTTTTCTAAAACATTCTCATGATTTGTGAACTGTTGTGTCCCTCCAAGGAAACCATAATCTGAAGAAAGTGATTCTATTTAAAATTTTGGCATAATTAATCTCCACAGGAGAATTTTTCAGTCTAAAAATGAAGAGAGAACAAGTTACCATTGTTAAGTTCTCATTGTTTTTCTTTGTTTTTGCTTTTGGTTTTTTCACTATTTCAAATTGCAGTTCTGATATGAAAATTGATCATCCTAAAGGTAGCTGTTGTGTGCGGGTCATGCACGGCGGGTGGAGCTTACATGCCCACTATGGCGGAGGAAGCTGTAATGGTGCACAGAATAGGAACCATATTCCTGGGCGGACCGCCACTTGTGAAAGCGGCTACTGGAGAGGAGGTGACGCCAGAGGACCTGGGAGGGGCCAGGCTCCATGCTGAGTATGTGTGTAAATCTAATCAGTCCTGAATAGTAACAGAAGAATTAGTTCATATCATCATGTATCAAGTCACCATCTTGTTCCAGAGTGAGTGGCTGCGTGGATCACTTTGCCTGGGAGGAGAAGGAGGCTTTTGATTACACTAGAAACATTATATCAACCCTCAACTTCCTGCTGCCTGAGGAAGAGGAGGAGACAAAGAAGAGGAATGCAGAGGAGGAGCCACTGCACAGTCTGGAAGAGCTTTTAGGACTCGCCCCTAAGAGTTACAACTACAGCCTGGATGTTAAGATGGTACAATGTGACGGACACAAATGCACAAAGTGCTCTAGTCCAGGGGTGGGCAATCTCAGTCCACGAGGGCCGGTGTCCCTGCAGGTTTTAGATGTGTCCTCGAACCAACACAGCTGATTTAAATGGCTAAATTACCTCAACATGTCCTGAAGTTCTCCAGAGGCTTGGTAACGAACTAATCATGTGATTCAGGTGCGTTGACCAAAGGTGAGATCTAAAACCTGCAGGGACACCGGCCCTCGTGGACTGAGATTGCCCACCCCTGCTCTAGTCTGATGAGTTTGTTACTCTTATGCTGAGTTGCGGCTCAGTGACCTTTAGTTGGTTGTTTCTGTTGCTCTGCCCAGGTAGTCAGTCGACTGGTAGATGGGAGCCGCTTTCTGGAATTTAAAGCTCGCTATGGAACCTCACTCGTCACTGGCTTTGCAAAGATACATGGGTAAAAGATATAAACACAACCAATACGCTCACTGAAGTCTTCTTGTAGCACATGAATCTGCCATAAACTCTGATTGTTGACATTGTGTTCCTAATGTTTTTTGTAATACTGAGGACACGATTTACATTTACTGCAGTCCTGCTTTTTATTCTTGGACTCGACTAGAGTAGCTCTGCATGATTATCTAAAATAATCCTTATTTATCCCATACGGGCCATGATGGAGCTTCTCATTTCACCCACTACCTGAAACAAGCACTTGCTGTTCCTTTCTCTTCCCTTTAAACCAGCTTTCCTCTGATTGGCTGCCCCTTGTGTGCAGTAGGTGGATTGATCTGTTGTGTATGTTATAGCCAGAGTTGTGCACTTGAGAGGGCCAGATTAGGGAAATTGGCTCACACTGACATCAAACTGAAACAACAGTAGAAACATTTTCTTTTAAAAGCGTTTACAGTAGCCTGAAACCCGAGCTTTCATCTAGTAGCTTTGCTAATATGATTTTGGTTTCCCTTTAAAATATGATGTTACACCTGTTACATGTGGCTGATAGTGAATACCATAAGTAATACTTCACCTAAACTTAAGGTAATTCTTTCTTTGTGTTCACTGCGTTAGTCACCTAGTTGGAATTTTAGCGAATGATGGACAGCTGTCATATGAGGCCACACTGAAAGGAAGCCATTTTGTCCAGTTGTGCAACCAGAGAGACGTCCCACTCCTCTTCCTCCAGAACACGGCACCCACTGCAGCACTGACGCTGTCCACAAAACAGGTATTCACTCTCACTTCATTCTCACTCAAAACAAATGTACAGGGACTCAAGTTTGGAAGAGTTTAGAATCACTTTGAGTCCCCAGTAAGTGTAAAAAAACATCCCATGTACCATTTATTCGTGTGTGTCTCCCAGGCAGAGATGAACAGTAACCATCTAAAAGCTCAGGGTTCAATGATGTCAGCAGTAGCATCCGCCTCTGTCCCCAAGATCACTGTGGTGATTGGTGGTTGCCATGGTGCAGACAGCTATGCTATGGTGAGCGAATCAATTTATTTTTCAGTCTAGAGTTTGTACATGACCATTTTCAGATCCTTTTTCTGTTTAAGCCATGTAACACTGATCGATGAATCAAACGTGATATAAAAGGCACCTAAATTAAGGGATGAACCAGTGTTGTGTCCCCATATAACAGACAACCTGGCAGAGTCCATTTTTAATGAGCCAGTGGGTTTCTGGTCGCCTCTGCAAAAACAAAAGTGACACAGTTTCACAGGCATAAAATAGTATTTTTACAGGAAGAAGGTGCTTCCTGAAGAACTTTTAAACACAAACTTGGAATATCTAAGCTTGGCGTGAGGTGTGTTCTTAAAAAAAATCTGAAGTGAAGGACAAAATAAGTGACATGCCTGGAAAAAAACTAGAAGATAAACAAATGCCATAGTTTGAGAATACATATCCGGAAGTGATGTTAGGGATGTTGAAAACGAATGAAATAATGAAGAAAATTACTATCAGATTTTTTTCATTTTTCAGGATGACAATGATCCCAAACATGCTGCCATTACAGTAAAAGCATTTCTGGATAGGAAAGCAAGCAATGAAACACTACCAGTCATGTCATGGACTGACCTGCCAGGAGTTCTGACCGCAACATGACTAAAGCCGTGCAGGATCATCTTGACAGTGAACAGAATAAAAGGCAGCCAGCTTCCAAAAAGATTTGAATGTCCTTCAACTATTCCTTAAGACTGCTTAGACACAAGACAGCCTCAAGTCTCTACCGCAGAAAGTTTAGAGAAGATATTAGTGGTGCACCGGATCACGGTTGATCCGTAATCCGAACCGATCCCACTCCACGGTTCGGCACGCACGTGATCCGTATTTAGCTGCAGACGGGAGGCCGTATACCGTTGTGCAAAACAAGGGTTTTAAACTAGCCAACGCGTTAGTTGACGCATTGACGCTGTGCAGCCCCACGCACGGGGCGATCGGTGGTAACTAGTTAACAGAGATTTGCCGCATTAATGCAGTTATGGCATTAACATCATTTTAACGAGGTTTACGCTGACAGCACTAGTTTAAACTATGATGAACGTGCTTGAGCCACGCTATGATATCCCGTCGCGCGTCCACTTCAGTGACAAGATCGCTCTAAGCATGTATGAGCAGGAAAAGTTCAAAGTTATGGCTGAACTGTCCCAGGCATCTTCTGTTGCCCAACTACAAATGGGTCTACCTCCAGGGCAACGGAAAGCCACGTGACCGTGACCGCTCATTATATCACAGCGGAGTGGGAGATAGAAAGCCCTGTACTGCCCTATATTGCATCTTAATTTGTTTTTAGATAATTGCGTGGAATGAGTTGAATGTTTTTTAATAGGCAAAAAATACTTAAATAAGTAAATGGCGAGTTAAATTTTTGTCTTCTTTTTTTCTGCTGATCCAAAAATTGATCCGATCCGTGACGAAAAAAACGTGATCCGATCCGAACCGTGAGACTTTTGATCCGTTGCACCACTAGAAGATATGCAAAAAAACCCCCAAAAACAGAAATTGCACATAATGATAATTCTTACCGATTCATTGTAATCTTGTAGAATGTGGCTTACAGTAATAATTCCTCCCTCGTTCCTCAACAGTGTGGCCGAGCATTTGATCCTAATTTCTTGTTCCTGTGGCCCAATGCCAAAGTTTCCATTGCCCCTCCGGGTCACATTGGCTCCCTGCTTCCCCTTGATGGTGAGCAAGAAGAAGAGCAGAAGAAGCAGGAAGAGGAACTAAACAGGATGTTGGTGGAAGAGAGTTCAGCTTTCTTCTCCTCCAGCAGGATGTGGGATGATGGAGTCATTCTGCCGCAGAACACCCGGAAGGTAAAAATGACCCTTTTTAAGCAATTATCTGTGTCTTTGGGAACATTCGAGAGCACATTCAAGAATGCTTCTTTTTTGTTGTTGTTGTATTTATTGCTTTTTGGTTTCAGGTTCTTAGAGACGTTTTGGACATCATCAAACAGCAGCGGTATCAGCTGTCTACAGAGACTCTGCAATCGATACCTCTGCGTATGTAGAGGCTTCTGTCCCCGTCAAACATCAGATTTAACTGCTCCTGTTGGACTCACAACAATCCCGTTTTCACTTGTAATGGAAGAAGCTTCTCTGTAAATTTGTTGAGGTCTCCACGACAAATATGTAATCAATCCTGTGTCCTGTAAATGTAGGTGCTAGGTCAAACCACTCTGGAGAGAGGGATTTAAATCCTGCACAGTTCCTCATCAGGGGTCCGTTCTTCGTACCTCGCTAAGTAA